CATATTCTTCCATGTAGCTAAGGTCCAAAATATGGAAGAAACAAGTGTTTCCACGACTCTACCACCCAGTCAATTCTGTTCCACTTAATCCCTCTTTCATGACCACATATCTTTTCAGTTAAGGAATGAAAAATCTTTCTCCTGTTACATGAATCCAATTTTAATTTTACCAGGGAAAACCCATCTTTTTCTCAACAATATCTTTGTCAATTGATCCAATAACGCTCTGTTAGATAGGAACATATTTGATAAATACCGATAACTCACGGATAGAGTATTAGAACGAAAAGATCCATTCACTACTAGAAATTCAGTAAAAACCGACCAACTTTGATCGGTCAAAAAATCGGCCAAAAATCGATCAAAGTTGGTCGATTTTTCAAAATATTTTAATTTTTAATTTTTTTTTACAAATTTGGCGCAAAATGCGAGAAACTATTTTTGAGTCCCGCGAAATTTATTTTTCAAGAAACCGACCAACTTTGGTCGGTTTTTGCAATTAAAATAAATAAAAATTAATATTAAAAAACTGACCAACTTTGGTCAGTAAATTCGGCCGGTCATTTTAAAAAACCGACCAACTTTGGTCGGTAATTTTATTTTTAATAAAACCGACCAACTTTGGTCGGTTATTTTCGTGTGAAAATACAATTAAAGAGTATAAATAAAAAATAAGACAATCTTAAGACAAAATGCACCAATGGTTTAGTGGTAGAATAATAACATGTCATAGTACACACCACGGTTCGATTCCTAGATGGTGAATCATTTAATTACATAACTAAAATACCGACCAACTTTGGTTTTTTTTTTCGACCAACCTTGGTCCTTTTACCTTTGTGACCAACATTGGTCGGTAATTAGCGACCAACCTTTGTTGGTATACTAAAACGACCACCAAAATAGCGACCAAGCGTGTTTGGACACATTTTAGTCGGTAATTTGCCAAAACAGACCAACATTGGTCGATTTTTGTGGTCGCTAATTACCGAATTTCTAGTAGTATATTAGATAATGAACTGTTGGTTCTAAGTCATCTCTGACGATTAATCAACAATTCGAATTGATTTTCTTGCGTATTCTTGATAAACCAGTATTTATATATAGATGTAGGAAGATCTATTTGGGAAGTAAGAACAAATTAGAGTGTTGATCTTTTTTCCTGGGGGATTCCAATTTTATGAGATTCAGAAACGAGGGTTCATTTAAATAACTAAATTACAGAATTAAGTTCTATCTTTTCTTTTGCTGGAGGAGTTTTGATAGAGATACGGTTCGTCAAAACCACTAAAATTATAACATAAAAATGCATTGTAAAATACTCGAAAGCTTCTTTTTTTTTAGTCCAACAAGGTGGTATAACATAAAATAAAAACGCTTTCCGTTGATTTGACATGCTATTTTTACCATTCATTCCCTTTCAGAACCAGTCTGGTCTTCCAGATTTTACCGAAAGTATGAACGAATCCCTCACTTCATCCTTATGTGTAAAAGAGACTAGCCGCACTTAAAAGTCGAGTACTCTACCATTGAGTTAGCAAACTCGAAGAAAATATCGACGAAAAAGAAATAAAGAGATTAGACAAGACAACCAAAAACCATTGAAGGAAGAAATCTAAAAAAATACATTCACATTTTCGGATTAATTTAAGTCAAGAATTTATTTCAAAAACCAACAAAATGATATTGTTCAAATTATACTCCAATATGTAAATTACTAATATTGTATTACTAAAAAGAGAAACTATATATTACTTAGAATTTCAAAATTATGCATCGAAAGAAATTGCTTATAAAATAATATAATAGTAGGAAACAAAATAAAGGCTAATGTAAAGAAATTAAAAAAAATGGAGGATTTAGTAGCAAAAAAAAGGAAGAAAAAACTATAAAAAGAAAGAGGAGGAAAAGAAAAGGAAGAAGAGATGAGGACCCAAGGCCTAGTAGTGAATAAACGAAATTTAGGGTTAATAAGTAGGAAAAAGATTTTAAAACAAAAGAAACGGAGAAGTGCTGCCACAGGGAATTGAACCCAGACACGTACGGTTAACGAGAGGCTTCAAAACCAACAAAACATGGCACCCACATAGAGTTTCTGTAATCCGGGTCCCCTTTGTATATAACACTCATTTTTCATAGAAATCAACAGATTTATTTAGAATTTTTGCCGCAGCGTGTAGGTGGCGTACCACCCCGATCCTATAAGATAGATCTGCCCTTGGTAAGTGTTCATTGTGTATGCGGTAAAATCAGAGGATCCAATTTTCCGTCATTGCGATGCCTCGTCGGCATGTTTTCAAAGGCTCGAGGCTATGGTTGAGAGTCACCCCCGAGGGCTATCAACGCCCGACTTCGGGGCAGTATAGATCAGCGGTTGTGATGAAGAAGTGGGAAGTTCCCAAGGCGCGTAGTTAGAGCCGACAAAGTCTGTCAGTCTAGCCTAAGCCTGCATCATGGCATTGACTGGCAGTACCAGCTCCATATCTTTGTAATAAATGTATTTGAACTATATTGGGATTCCCCCTTATATATAAAGAGGATCCTTGTCATTTTGTAACCATCTGATGCTCAATATTGAATACACAAGAACATTCTCTCTCCTCTCTAACATATTTTCTTGATCTCATTACTTCCATTTATTTCTTATATTCATTGTGTTATATTTATTGTTCACCATTTATTGCTTATCATTGAAGAGCCATCATCGTAGCTCTCATCACCGTTATTCCTCCCTCGATCTCTCTAAGTCGGCCATTCGATTCAACCTCGAGGGCCCATATATGCTAGCTCGAGGCCCAGATCTCCAGCTGTTTGGTTTGACTATCATATCGTTTTTTGAGTTATAATCTTGCTTTATAATCTTTTACTTAGCATCCATTGCCTAAACAACTAGCATAAAAATAGATCACGTATTTTTATAACCACAAAATCAAATTTAATTGTTATTACCATTTTCACGGTAAAAGTTTGGCGCCCACCGTGGGGCTAAAAATAATAGTAATTGTTTTCTTGCTGGTTTACTACATAACGCAAGTTACCTTTCACACTTTTTCTTATCAAAGATCTTTGATTTCAGGTCCAAATGTCTAACTCAGTAAACAACAATCTTGAGGACCATGGAGAGAATGGTGTGGATGTTCCAGGTGTTAGTGTACCACTACGAAACCCGAGAATGCACCAGAACCAATTCTCGTGGACGCGGTCTCATGCGACGCCCAACACGTCGATATAAGCTCCCACACTAACATGAGCGTGCACCAAGGAGACCAACAAGAAGCTCAGAAAACCCCAACTAGGGAAGAACGGGAGGTTAGACTTCACGTTATTTTTGAAATGTTACAGGCACAATAGCTGGCTATTGCTCAGCTGCAGAGCCACCAAAAAACCCCAAGTACAGCGGCCTCGGGAACAGCCCCTCGGACCTAACAGGTACTAGAAAGATCAAGCAACAACTAGTCGGCAACTGACCCGCCATTGTAAAGATGCTCGAGGATCTCACAAAGAGGATCGAGTCGGGCAAGAAGAAGATAGATGCCAACGACAAGAAGTTAGAGACCTACAATTTCAGGGTCGATCAAATTCCAGGCGCACCCCCGATTCTGAAAGGTGTAGATTCGAAGAAATTTGTGCAAAAGTCGTTCCCACAGGAAGCGGCCCCCAAAGAAGTTCAAAATGATCGAACTTCCGAAGTACAACGGAACCCCGGACCCCAACGAGCACGTCACTGCCTACACTTGTGCAGTGTAGGGCAACGACCTAAGGGACGACGAGATCGAGTCCGTCCTGCTAAAGAAGTTCGGGGAAACATTCTCGAAAGGGGTCATGATGTGGTATCACAACCTAGCTCCTAACTCTAAAGACTCATTTGTCATGCTGGCAGATTCTTTCATAAAGGCACATGTCGATGCCATCAAATTAGCAACAAGGAAATCTGACGTCTTCAAGATCATGCAAAGGGAGAATGAGATGTGACGAGAGTTCGTATCTCGCTTTCAAATGGAACTACCACCAGTCTCCAACGACTGGGAAGTGCAGGCCTTCACTCAAGGTCTGAATGAATGAAGTTTGATGGCTTCGAAACATCTAATACAAAATTTGGTTGAATACCCCGCCGTGACTTGGTTGGACGTTCACAACCGATACCAATCAAAGATTAGGGTCGAAGACAACCAATTAGGAGCCCCATCGGGCTCGGTATACCCAAGCAGGCTTTTGGCGAAGGAGCCAAAGCCAAACAAAGAAAGGTACCAGCCATACATCGAAGATAGGAGAAACGCCCCGAGGCGTAACATATCCCATAATGATCGAAGAACGAATCGAGGGCAGAACCCTCGGGGACTCGTCAACAGAGCCAAGTTCAATAGGCATGCAGGGCCAGCAGAAGCACCCCGCTTATCGGAATACAACTTCAACATCGATATTTCAGATATCGTGTTTGCCATCAGTAAGATTAGAGACGCCAGGTGGCCGAGACCTGTACAATCAGATCCTTCGTAAAGGAACCATAACTTAGTGTGTGAATTTCACAACATGCACGGTCACAAGACCGAGGATTCCCACCAACTCCGAGAAGAAGTAGCCCGACTACTCAGCAAAGGTCATCTCCGAGAATTCCTCAATGACCGGGCCAAAAATCAGTTCCGGGAAAGAGAGGCGACCAAGAAAAACAAAACAAATGAGCAACAACATGTCATCCACATGATCTTAGGAGGCATCGATGCCCCACAAGGACCCATGATCAGAAGAACAAAAATATTCATCACCAGAGAAAAGCGAACTCGGAGTTACATAACCGAGGATGCTCTCACATTCAGCGACGAGGACATCGAGACCTTGTCTCAGCCTCACAACGACGCACTGGTAATCTCTTTCCTTATAAATACATTTCAAATTAAACGTGTACTTGTGGATCCAGGTAGCTCGGCCAATATTATCAGGTCGAGGGTGGTAGAGCAGCTCGGACTGCTTGACCAAATCGTGCCCGCCTCAAGGGATTCAACATGGCAAGCAAAACAACGAAAAGGGAAATCACCCTCCCAGTCAACGTGGTTGGCACAATCCAAAATGCCAAATTCCATATCATCGAAGGAGACATAAGATATAATGTCTTGCTTGGAAGGCCATGGATACACTGCATGAGAGCAGTATCATCAACCCTTGATCAAATGATGAAGTTTTCAACAAAGGATGGAATAAAAACCGTGTACGGGGAGCAACATGTAGCAAGGGAGATGTTCGCACTACACGACGTGGCAACGACACCAGTACCTCAACCTTCGAAGGAGCTAAAGGATAAGCAAACAGTAAAATAGCAATAACAAGCTACACTCTCAGCTACCCCCGACTAAACAAAATAAAGGACTATACATACCGAGTCCTCAAAACAAGCGATTGAATCACATCGAGATCCGAAGCATCGTCAACACTAAGGTATGGCTATCTCCCTTTTTCAGTTACATTTTATACTAACCTGAATGCAAGTATCCGATTGAAACGGCCGAAGCGTTTCCCAGCTCGAAGGCCTTAGGTTTCAAAAGCATGTGTTGCACTCGAATACGGGGGGGCATCCCCCCGGAAGGTCACCTACTCGAAGAAGCCAAGATGCATTAAATGAGGATAGGAAAATAATGTACCGGGCCAAACGGTCGAATGAACCATGTAGAACAACCAAGCTGTAACAGCAAAAATGTGTATACTTGTACCAAGTAATCAAAGAACATTTTCCCCTTCATCAAAGCATTTAGTGTTTCAAAGAAGCTCGGTGTCTTTTGCAAAAAATGGCTCTAGAGCCGAAAACGTCCTGAATACTTGGGGACTGGCGTCAATAACTCAAAGCCGCTTGACCCCCGGGTTGGAGCTTCAAACTCATAAACCATCAATGAGGCAACATCAAGATCACAAAATGGCTCCAGAGCCGAAAACGTCCCGAACACTCGGGGACTGGCATCGAAAACTCAAGGCCACATGACCTCCAGGTTAGAAATCTTAAAATCGTAAGCCCTCAATGAGGCAATACCAAGTTTACAAGTAATGGCTCCCGAGACGAGAAACCCTCGATGTCTTGGGGACTGCAGCCAATCGCCACCCCCATCGACTTATCAAAAGCTGAAGCCACAAGACCACATGCGGGTAGCCTCGGTCTCGTAAGACCTACATAAGGCAATGACAATATCAGTAAGACCTCAAGCAAGGCATGAACCACACTTGTACCAAGTAGCCAAAAACTGTAAGACCTCAAATGCATGAAAAACTTGTAAGACGCCGAAACTATTTCACTCGGGGACTGAAAGGCTCCGGCCAAACACAAATGACTACAATCACAAAGTTGTACCATCCAAACTAACACGACTCGAGGACGCCCGACTATCGCTATAAAAACATAAGCCTTCAATTACTTCGAAAAGAACCTGTTAAACAGGCTAACCTCGACATAGGCAAAAGAGCTTCGACCATGTAAGCTCCAAAGTATAAGGCTTCAAGATACTTAGCCGCTGAGCCAAACCTCCCGGGGTGCTCGATCATCTCCATATAACAACTCACAATCGAGGTTTTTATCAAACTGTCGAAGAGTCGGGCAAACAAAATTTCAAAAAGTCCTTAACGAGTAAAAAATAAAACCTATATAAGAGGTCAGTACGTAAGAGACTATCGCTAGCCCATATAAGAGGTCGTACCGACCCAACGCGTAAGAGCCAACCTTAAATTCAAAAACTTGAGGGTCGAATGAGCTCGAGTCGATACCCGACTCAGAGACTAAACCCAAAATAGTTAACTAAATATGCCTAAGAGCAAAAGCATAAGAGCTCAAACGCCGGCTTACACTAAAAGGTCATGCCAACCAAGTGCATATTTATGGATCTATGGATTCCTTTTAACTCCAAGACCAGTCCATCTAGCTAAAATCAAGGCAAAGGGGAATGTATGTAAAATAAAGCCACGAGGTTTCCTTTTTATACATATATGCGAAAAAATACAAGCTTTATTTACAGTTCTTTGAAAGCACTCTACGCAAAACAAGAAAGGAAAGGCCTAAGCTAATCTACGTCCCCCTCGGGGACTATAGTCCATCAACTTCTTCCTCACCATCTTCGGCATCAGACAGATGAAACTTAGCATCATATTCTTCTGCCTTCGCCTGCTTTATCTCTTCCGAGAGATCGAAGCCCCTGACATGAATTGCCTCGAGGGTTTCCCTACGAAATTTGCACCTCGTATACTATTCCTACTCCCCTGGTCGAGAGACCCTCTTAGCTCAGCACGAGCATCGGCAGCCTCCTTCAGATAGGCAGCCACCTTCTTATCAGCCTTAGCTCGAATTATTTCGGCTTCAGACCGAGCATCCACAACTTCGGCCTTCATCTTCAGGAGCTCAGACTCAAGTCTTGGAATCATGTCCGTTCGGACCAAGCTGTTCTCATTAGCGTTATGAAGTTGCACTTCGAAGGCGGAAGCCTTGGCCAAAGAATCTTTCTTAGCCGATATTTGGGTATCCACCCGAGCCCTTAGCTCATCGCACTCACGCTTGGCTTAACCAACTTTGTTCCTAAGGCATGCCAGGTCTTCTGTTTTTTTCTGCAGCTGAAGTAAACGAAACATTAGCCTTAGAAGATAGAAAAAGAAACACGCAAACCCTTCGAATAGAAGTTACCTGCTCCTCGAGGTAGCTTTCGTAGTTCAGACTGCGACTAGCCTCATGCCGCAAGTGTGCCAACTCGTCTTCCCTTTCATCACAAAGAAGCCTGAGGGATTATTGTTATCCCCCATTTTAACACGAGTCAAATTAGTGTATAACATATTGGTAATTCCGAGGTTAATTAATTAAGAGAGTCGCCACCTAATTATTTCTAAGGTGAATTAGGACAACTAAAGTGATTAAAGTAATTTAATAAAGTATTAACTCTGTTAATGGTCTACTTAACCTAAAGGCTCTAGGTAAGGGTTCAATTAATCTAAAGGGAAGGTTCTTAAGGCACCCTTTAAGATCCATATTAAATGGTTGACCCTCCGGACTAAAATTTAATTAAGGCTATGTATTGTAATGTAAAATAAAAAGAATATATTAATTCCTAAAAGGGTTAAAGAATTGACTAGATGTTTGTAAAATAAGTCAATTCCTATGTATTGCAATGTTAAGTTTGCACTCGATCAGCAATGCACTTAAATTCTTAATTAAGATTTGAGAAAATGATTTCCTAAACTAGCAATGAGCTCTCGTTCCGATAGTGTCCCAAAGCCGATCTTTCTTAACCTGTTAACTCCAAACTTGAAACATCAAACAAGTAACTATGAGTTCAAGATGTCTTTAAAGAAAGTAAAGAAAACAATGCCATCTTGAATATTTGAAACAGGGAAAGAAAACAAAGATGACAGCTTCTATGTGCTAGAAATACCACTAGTTTCAGTTCCTAAAAAAATCATATAAAGCAGAGTTGTCAATTTCACAAAGTTGGTAGAGCGGAAAGAAAAAGTT